ATTTTAGAACATCCTCCATAATCCATAGCTTTGCATTACTTGAAGATATTAACTCATTGAGTACCGTCATTATAGACACAATTATAGAACAATAGGTTGCGGTCACTGGTGACCGCTTGTTGTTTGACAGTTTAAATTAGTAGATATGATTTTTAAAAGTTTTTGCATACAATTTGCAGAACAGAACAAATAGGGCGCAGTACAGAAGCCCTGTTGAACATAAAAGCAACGGGAGCGTGGGAGTCACACGGGCGGTGTTGTTGCCCTCGCCTGCTGTTTCACTTCCGTCGTGCTCCCAACCCTGTAAAGAAGATACCGGCGGCACTGAAAAGATTAGAACATGCTGTGGAAGATCAATTGTATTTTATACTTAGAAAGGCACGGATTATTACCAATGTTTGGTAAGACTTCAACTTTTATTTATTTATCTATTACGTAACATTTGACACAACATGATACACAAACTGATACTCAACACATTGAACGTTAGTGTTCTGCATTCACACGATTTTGCTCGCAACCTTCTTTGATAAAATGTCACCAGAGGATATAGTGTTGTGCGTCACATCTCCATTTGATACTCTATAGTAATTAAGTATGTTGCACTGAAATAAACCTAATCCACGCGTCATGTTGCGTTGGCAACGTCATTCGATGTTTAGCAATGTTAGGCGTCAATATTATTATATTTATTTACCTCGTGTGTTCATAAGTTTTGAGACAAACTTTTTGCTTATAAAAATAAAATAAAAATTACTGGCTGCTGTATATTTCTTTTTTTAATTTTGAATTTGGAATGTTAACTTTTAATATCTATGATTTCGGATTATTTTATTTAAATTTTCTCGTAATGGAGGGAACAAAAGAATTACGTGCGACCGTCATTTCATTATTTAAGGTGGGAAGAAAACCTATGGACATTTTCCGAAAACTGAAAAGTTTTGGTGTGAGCCGTAACTTCGTTTATTACACTATTAAACGATACCAGGAGACAAGTTCTTTACATGATCGGCAAAGAAGTGGTCGTCCACGCTCTATGAGGACGCCTGCGAACATTAAAATCATCCGAGAGCAACTTCGCCGAAATCCATGTCGCACTCAGAAGAAACTCGCTCTGCAGACCAATATTTCGCGCGTTTCAGTCAACAGAATACTGAAATATGATCTCAAGGTTAAGGCGTATAGCCGTAGAAAAGTACAGTTTTTAAACGATCGCCTTCGTCAATTGCGACGCGAACGTTGTCCAATACTGCTTAGGAGACACGATGCGAGGAAGATACTCTTCACCGACGAGAAAATCTTTACCGTCGAAGAAAAGTTCAATCGACAAAACAATAAAGTGTATGCCAAAAGTAGTAAGGATGTCCCACCTTCAGCACGGAATGTCTCGCGTACTCATCATCCGGCTAGTGTCATGGTATGGCGGGGAGTTTCGTACGAAGGTGTCACTCAGCTTCATTTCTGCCAACAAGGCGTCAAGGTGAAAGCCAAAAATTATCAAAGTGACATTCTAGAGACTGTTGTGAAACCCCTGTCTAATACCATATTCCATAACAAGTATTGGGTTTTCCAGTTTTCGAATGGCCCTCCTCCAGCCCCGACCTCAACCCGCTGGATTATCTCTATGGACCGAATTAGAGCTCAGAGCCTGCCGAAAGTCCCACCCAAACTTGGAGTCACTTAAGCGAGCTCTTGTCCGAGAAGCGAAGCGAATTCCTCTGGAAAAGATTCGTGCCGCCATTGATGACTGGCCAAATCGTCTAAGGGCATGTATTAAAAACAGGGGTGGACATTTTGAATAATAAATAAAATTAATTTTTACTTACTATCTACTTAATGTTTGTTATTGTTTTTATAAATATAAGTGTATTATTTAAAACGATATGCAACTTTTAATTTGTCTCAAAACTTATGAACACACGAGGTATATTCATATCTGAAATATGTTAGTATAATCTTCTATTTTCTCAATTAAATCGTTGCTTGCTTCTTGCTCCTACCATTAACTCTTCTCTGCATCACCCAATGGTCAGACTGGGAGATAATGGCTGCGGCATTAAGTCCACCTTGTGTACATTTTGTACATGAAGTGTTAATAAATAAATAAATAAAATAAATAATTGGATAATGAATACTAGGCTGTATGCCTGTACCATAACACTAACAAAGTACTTATGGTAGCTGCTAATAACTCATGTTCTCTATTAAGTATAAATCGCGGGTTACTCAAGTGAAAATACTGAGTAAAGCTCTACTAGTTTCGAGTCATAGAGGGGCTCTTCCACATGAGCAGCGTGCTCGGTCACGGCGATGTCGCGCGGCCTACTGTTATTATAATAACTCATGTTCTTTTCAGTGCCAAATCCCTGTTCGCAATACCAAAGAATGAAGAATTTGTATACATTAGCGGTGACGAAGAGAGTCAAAGTGCGCGAGAAGTGAGCGCACTAGTCCGTGGTTTGGTGGCGCGATGCAACTCGGTACCGGATACTCCGCCACCGCGACCCACCTTCCGCCAGTTCCTACAGACGCATATAGACATGGCCTTCGGAGAGGGATTCGATGATAACGTCGGAAAATATGCTATGAGCACGTCGTTCTTTGAGGTGAGTTGGGTTTTTGTTAATTGGTTGTTGAATTAGAACTTACTAGTGACCCGCCCCGGCTTCGCACGGGTGCAATATGTATATACATACAAACCTTCCTTAAGAATCACTCTATCTATTAAAAAAAACCGCATCAAAATCCGTTGCGTAGTTTTAAAGATCTAAGCATACATACGGACATACAGCGAAAGCGACTTTGTTTTATACTATGTATTGATAATCGCGCAACTGATTCTTGACAGGAGCCTTCCAATGGGGCTACCATTGTTTGTAAAGAACATCCATTAGTGTGACATGAGCAAATTCTCTATTGGATAATAAACGAAAATCGCACACTAGCGCCATCTACTGTGTAAAGAAACGTTATTAACCCTATTATTCCAATCATTGCTACCCCACTCCATTTTGCAAGAACATTATAAATAATTATGTATGTTCACTGTGTAAAGCATCTTACGCCACTATAAATCCCAAGTCCTTTTTAAAATGTTCCAACATTGTGTCCACCAGCTCCCCAGTGCTGCAGCATGGCGTGCGGCTGCGCAGGCGCTGTCCGCGGTGTACCTGTCGCCCGTCGCGCGGGCGCAGGACGAGCCCGCCTCCGCTGCACTGTACGACGCACTTGCCACTGACGTACGATTCTCTCAGGCCCGATGCGCTAAGGTAACATTAAAAATTAGTCTTAGAAGCTTATAAAATGTATGTTTCGAATTAACCTCGTATAATGTATTTTATACCGGGAGCCGGTGTTTCAACAGATAAAAGGTTAATGGAGTGTATTTTTAATTTTACAGGTGTTGCCAATAGCACAGGCATCATACGCGGAAGGTTTACCCGCTCATTACTCCAGCCAACATCATGCACATAAGGTTAGTCGATTGCACACTTATGTAGGTTAAACTAACCACAGAATACTGAGTCTTATGTAAATATGATTAGAGGCCATTTTTTCGAAATCAGTTTGAATGATGATATTATAATATTTCTATATCAGGTAAGTGTAGCACTGGGCGTGCTGGACAGTATGGCGCGCGGCCCGCTGGCCCGCGGGGCCCGCGCCCGCCTGAGCGCGGCCTGCACCGCACTCTGGCGCACGCGCAGCCTGTGCGAGGCACTCTCTCTAACCGGACACGTCTGCATCGAGCCCGAGCAGTAAGTCTACCTACTATAACTATACTATACTAGCTTCTGCCCGCGGCTCCGCCCGCGTTACTGTGGGATAAAAAGTAGCATATATCTTATTTCAGACCATAATCTACCCCTGTTCCAAATTTTAACGCAAAGGAGTAACAATCAAACAAACAGACAAACAAAAACTTTCGCGTTTATAATACACTAGCTTTTACGCTAGGCTTCGCTCGCGTCACAAAAGGATAAAAAGTAGCCTATGTGACATACCAATACACACAGCGCCATCTATACCAATACTTTATTTTCCCTCAAGAATATCAAATTTTTCCGGGATAAAAAGTACCCTATTATTTAATCCGGCCTTCTAAGTTTACGTCTGCAAAAATTCAAAGCAATCGGTTTAGTAGTTACGGCGTGAAAGCGGAACAAACAAACAAACTCACTTTCCGATTTATAATATTAGTAAGGATATTTGTAAGTTTACTATAGAGTATATAATGTGGCGGTTGTATACAGTGACAGTAGCAAGGAGCACTCGTCGGGCGTGCGCTATATATCGGCGTGTAACTGCGGGCGCTGCAAGTGGTCGCGCGAGGACCCGTACTCTCTGCGCCGCGCCAACTGGACCTTCTACACGGAGGCCGCCGAGGAGTGCGGGGTCTGTCCCACTCTGCAGACCATCGACTTCCCCGTCTTCCAGCCTTCTACGCCGTCCTATAAGTAAGTACCAGTCAATTACAGTCGAAATGTCAAAGCAACATCACTATTCTTTTTTTGATATAGTTTATTTTGAGTTCACGCTTGGCGCGGTGGCTGAGCAACTGGCTGCCGCGCAACGTGTCGCAGGTTCGATTCCCGCACGGAACAACTCTTTGTGTGATCCACAGATTGTTGTTCTGGATCTGGGTGTCATGTGTATGTGATATTGTATGTTTGTAAACGTATGGGGCAACAAAAAAAAAAGTTCGTGCCCGTTTTAAAATTGCGTAGACGACGATGGTAGATTTAGTATTTCATCTCCAGAGCGGCGGCCCTAAAGGAAGCGGAGGAAGCCGCAGAACGCTCAGCACCACGTCGGTCGCCGGCGGGGTCGGGCGTGTCGCCCGCGTCGGCCGCGTCGCCCGACAACAACTGGTCCGCGCCCGACGCGCTGTCGCCCGGCTCTGCGCACGACGACGAAGACGACAAGTCCCACGACTCGGATCGATACGTCGTGCCCGTTAGAGGCGATGCCGCGACTGGTAACTATACTGTCTACTGATTTCAACTATTCATTTCAAATTATTTATATTAATTGACTTGCGCAAAATATTTTTGCGCTAAATTGTTTGCGCAAATAAATTGCACAATCAATACACTGTATCTATTTTGCTGGCTCATTTTGTTTACACCTTACACGGAACGCTTTGTTGACAGAAAAGATAATGAGTCGCCAGCCATCGACGACGGAGTACCTGCCAGGCATGCTGCACTCGGCCAGCCCGGCGGGGCTGCTGCCGGCCTTCGCGAGCTGGTCGCTGGTGTGCCTGGGCGCGTCCAGCCTGTACTCGCACGCGCTGGGGCTGCCCGAGCACCTGCAGCCTGGCTTCCTGCCACACACCAACTACCTGCTGCCCTGGGACTGTGCCGTGCGGTACTGTGTCTTTCATTATACTTTATATTATTGCTGTACGTTGGAGGATTTATTAATTGTAGACGGATTTATTATACTTGGACAGTTAGACAGCAGCGTTAATGAATAGTGTCTATATAACACATTATAGTGAGGGGGCGACTACTTACTAATTAGTGATGTTCATACATGTAACAAGTAACTTCACAACTAATTCCCTCAGTTCATTTCACCAACGTATACCAAACTAATTGCAATAAATACGCCACCAATTATGGTAAAAGCTGCGATACTCCACTTACTCGCACGCAGGATGCGTTTTGCTCTCGTTGCCTCTGTGGATTTATTTGATAGAGCCCGTGTTTGCAAAAAGGTATCTTTGTATCTTCAATGCGATAGGTAGCTAAACTCGTTTCTGTTAAAGGGCTCGATACCAGCGGGAAGAAAAGCGGTAGTGTAAAATGTATTTTGTGATTGCCGTCACGACACGACAAGATGTAATTAATAAGTGTTATAGTTGAGTGGTCCGCTGCAGGTTGGAGTCAATGAGTGGCTGGCGGGTATCTGGCCCGTCTCGGGGCCGCGGCAAGATTACACCGCACCATCACCTCACGGTCAAGATATTCATCGGATTTGAGTACGAGTGCCCTAGGGGTCACAGGTATACTTACATTCTTTACCTGTTTTTGTATTATAATTTTCGTGAGACAAATTAAATTAATTTATTATTAATTTATTAAACGGTAAATTAAATATTTGTTTGGCGAGATAACTCATTAAAATTTTAATGTAATGGTCTTTCAAGCGTTCCTTTTTGGCTTGTATTTTTAAACGACGTGGTGTTAGAATTACAACAAGTTCTTAAACACCGTTTTGGTGTAAGCATAATGATACATCGGTGTTCTGGCTCGGAGCAGAAGTTGAAACTGGGTTTTTATTAAAAAAAACCTCTTGCTGAGTCTCGTTTCGTTCGGGGCGGGAGGAGTAATATATATTATATGACTCCCCCTTTCTATAAAAAAGGCCTTAACTCGTCGAGTACCGGTTTTGTAGACACAATTATAGAACAATAGGTTGCGGTCACCGGTGACCGCTTGGTGTTTGACAGTTTAATTCACTGAGGGAACTGAAAACTATGTTTTTTTTCTTCTCCTTTATTAATATCTTTTGATTTAACTAAAAATCGCGGGTTACTCACGTGAATATACTGAGAAAAGCTCTACTAATTTCGAACACAACACAGAGGGGTTCTTCTTCATGAGCAGCGTGCGCGGTCGCGGCGATGTCGCACAGCCGTAGGTCGTGTGAGTAATCCGCGATTTTTAGTTAATTTAGTATGTCTCACGATAGTTATCTTTTGATTTTGTTGCGGGATCCAAGACAGAGACAGAGAGTCCCAGGGACAGGAATAACTGTCATATCCCTGAGACGCGCCGGACTTCAGTGTTCCGATGTTTTCATGGTTGTATCTACTGTAGATCCTGTCTTACAGGAGTTGTAGCAGTTTTGGCAGACTGTGGCGGGCTTGTCCCAAAATAAACTAGGCCTTAGTCTAGTTCTGACTGTGTCAGTTTCTCGAGTTATATTAAGAGAAAATTATAATCTACATGTGAAAGTTTTCTCAATAACGCTAACTAAGGTCGCCAAGTCAATCTCTATCTTTAAGTGACAAGTGAGAGAACATTATCTTTCCTCCTGAAATATAGATTTGTTTGTCTATATTTATATATATGATTATAATTGTATTATATTAATTTGTTTTATTGTTTATTATTGTTATTTCTATTGGTTTCTTCAGTATTATTAGTTACTTTTTTTTATTAATTGATTTTTATCTTGTTTGTGTAACATACTATGTGTCTCGGTGTTGTTATTTCTTTTCCTGCCACAGGCCAACAGGAAGAAATTCCAGTTGGAATATGTGGGGCTTAAGTACTCTGGTTTTATATACATGTATTGTCCTCTGTGCTGAATATGTGTACATAAATAAATAAATAAAGTGATGGCATCTGACTTTTTCATACAATATTTGTTAGTATAAATACTAACTATATCCACAAAGTAATAATTTACAGACTATTACTAAACAAACTTTTAATTATAACTTGAACTGAAGTAACCAAAGTTTTGTGTTCGGTTAGAACTTTACGCTTGAAGTTGTTACTATATAAGAGAAAATATTACGCCTACTTTTCTAGAGACTGTGGGTTCCATTTCTGATCTACAAAATTAGTTTCTACAACAAGATGAGTTCAATCATCATCAGTCATCAACAGCTGGAAGACGTCCACTGCTGGACAAAGGCCTCCCCCTTAGTCCTCCACGTCGAACGACAACTCACCACCTGCATCCACTGACACCCCACAACTCTGGCGATGTCGTTGGTCAACCTAGCGGAAGGCCTGCCCACGCTTCGTCTTCCGGTCCGTGGTCTCCACTCAAGGACTTTCCTGGCCCATCTGCCGTCAGTCCTTCGAGCGACGTGAACTGCCGATTGCCACTTCAGTCTGCAGATTTTGCGATCTATGTCGGTAACTCTTGTTCTTTCGCGAATTTCCATATTTCGGATTTATTTTGTCGCGCAAAGAAACCCCGAGCATAGCTCTCTCCATCGCACGCTGAGCTACTTTGAGCTTCTCCAGAATGAGTTCACTAATTGATGATGAAAATGAAAATGAGTTCACTAATTTAACTCGTCGAGTACCGGTTTTGTAGACACAATTATAGAACAATAGGTTGCGGTCACCGGTCCCCGCTTGGTGTTTGACAGTTTAAGAAAGAGGAGATCCTCTGAATGACTTCCTCGTTGGCCGAGTGGTTGCAAGTGCGACGGTAAGGGGTCTCCGGTTCAATTCCCTGGTCGGGCAAAGTATTATTGGGTTTTAAAAAAATCTCATTGGTAGCACGGAGTCTGGAATTGTGCCCGGTATATGGCAATAGGCTCACCCCCTATTACATGGGACTTATAACAGTAATTGTGAAAAGTCTTGGGAGTCTTCAAGGCCCGAGTGAATAGGTTGCTTATGGGACGACGTGCTCCAACGTAGACCGCATCATCGCTTACCATCAGGTGAGATAGTGGTCAAACGTCGCCCCATCAATTATAAAAAAAAAAAAAAAAAAAA